GGGACTCATGCACGCGGACAGCCTCCTTCAACGCCCCAACCCTCGACGAGGCATCCCTCACCTGAAGCTTCAATACCGCGACTTCACCCTCTAACGCGGTCACTTTCCCGCCCCATGCCGCAGTAGCCTCCGCCGCCTTAGCCTGGCCTTGACGCTCACACTCAGCTGCGGCCCTCTTTACCGCCTCGAGCTCCTCATCCTTCCGGCGGAGCTGCTCCTCGAGAGCACTCGTTCTGCCAAGTGTTTGCTGCATCTGAAGCTCCCGCCTCGCCAGTTCCTCGACCAAGGCCCGGCTACGGGGATCATTCCTCAAGCGCACGCGCAACTCTCGGCACTGATCTCGATAGCGGCGATACTTCTCCAGCGCCCGCAAAAATATCCCCGAGCGGACTTTGGCTCGACGGATGCTCTCCACCTCCAACAAATAAGACTGCAAAGCAAAGACAACGATTAAGATAAAGAACAAACTAAGGCAAAGAAGAAGCAAACCGACGTAATAGTACATACCCTCAAGCCCATCACGGCCACTTCATTCATCAGTCCGATATCCGTAACGCCCCTCAACGACGCATTCTCGGCCTCCGAGCATAGCAGCTCAAACTGCGGCACCAAGCTTTCCCCTTGGAGAAATAAGTTCAACTCCATGGGAACCTCGATGAAGCGAGATCGCCCCTCTGCGCGCACCACTGAATTGGTGAAGCCTTCCCGGAACATACGGACGTCGTCGGGGTCCAAGTCGGATTCGAACTCGTACTCATCTTCTACAGCATCCCTTCCTCCTTCAGCCACCAGCGAGGTAGAGCCACCCGCTGTAGCCACCGAAGGAGCGCTTGCCTCACCAACATTAGCAGCGACTGGAACCACCAATTGAATCGCCAAAGCGACGGCATCATCATGGCATAAGCCAATCGGGGCAACCCCCATTGCGTGTCCACTCTCAGGTTCAGGCGTCGCAGCCACACTCCGCTTTGCATCCGCCGGGGGGGAGTCCAAATTAATTACCGCAGGAGGAGCCGGCGTGAACACGACCCTACGCCTTATCAATGGCCTCTCCTCCTCCCCATCTGATGGCGAATCCGTTCTAGGGAGCACAACCCCCGATGGCCCCTCGTCCCGAAGAGCGGCCCGTGTTGGAGAAGGAACCACTGAAGATTCAACTGATGCCGCCCTCGGTATTGGGCGTGACACCGGCGCCGCAGTAAGTCGAGCAATTGCACCCGACCGACGGAAGGCCAACTGAGGGGCCCTGACGCGGCGTGCCCTCCCTGATCACAGAAAAACAAAGTTGATGAATAGAGTTGAGACAAAGCGGAACAGAAGAAGAAATCAATTTTTTACCTGCCACAGGCCTACGGCCATGCCTCTCCCAGAAAGACGCCCATGTGCGGATCCCCACCGTATGGGGGAGCACGGCCTCAACCCACTCACGAATCCCAGCCAACGGAGCCGGCGACAACTTTTCGGCTACAAAATTGACACGAGTTAACGTTTACGAGCACAAGACGTAAGGAGGGGTAAAAAAAAGAATTCGACGGCAAAAGAACTTACGTGCATGATTCCAAGCCTCTGGGAACCCAGCAGAGCACGCCACTAAATGTTCAGTCCTGATGTAGAAGAAGTGCTCAAAAGGGCGAGGGTCGACCTCGTCATCCAGTTTTGCAGTAAGGCCCCTCGACCCACGAGGGCACGCTTGAATCATGGTACCGCGAACCCTCTGGGGAGCGTAGAGACTAAGCACATGCTGCAGCGTGACCTCCCTACCGGCCAGTTCTGCATATTTGATAAACATTGCTAGCAATTTGTAAAGAGAAGGAGCAAGCTGACCCGGGCACACCCCGTAATAACGACAGAAATCAACCACCAGCATTGGGAGCGGGAGCTTAAACCCCAACTTGAAGGGATAGGCGTAAAAAACGCAGTATCCCCTGCGGTCGGTGTGGACCCTCTCCTCGCTTCTAGCAAGAACGACGTCAGCTTAGCTGGGGATGACCCCTTGTTTCTGTAGTTGGGCCATCCCAATCTCCCCCATTAATGGGGCTTCATCCACCTGATCCTCCCCGCTATCGGCGGTGAAATCAGTCATCGGACCTCCGGGCAGAGATACTATCTCGTCAACCGATGGAACTTCATCAGTCTCCACCAGTTCTGCACCGCCCATTGCCGGAGATGGCCCTTCAGTCACCGGAGAGTTAACCGAAAGACTCGTCGGAAGAACGTTTTGGGAAGAACTGCCTGCCATTGTTGAGTCAATAATCAGAATGAAACAAAGTTTGAGGGACGAAGACGGAAGTTATATAAATCGAAGAACAAAGATAAAGGTGAATTAGCAGGAAGAAAAGCTTCTTCAGAATCTCTCTCTGGCAAACAATGAGAATATAAAAATGTATGGGTCAGCCCTTATTTATAAGCAACACAAATGGCTTTCAAAAGCCCCAATAGCCTTCATTAACTATATGACCAACCGCAAACCGATTCGGTTCTGCAGAAACACGCGTCGTTATGACAGGCTTCGTGAAGCGGCTCTTCAGTCGCCAACCGGCGTCTCACCTGCGAAACGGTTGCAACAACCCATGAAAGCCAAGAGGATGTTCCGTGCGCCTTCAGAACGATGGACGTCGCCAAACATGTATCTAGTGAACCCATACTCCCTTCGGCTGCACAACATATGACCCGTCCACCATGGTCGACGGTTACGCTCCCAAACAAACGTAAGGATCAGAGCACCACAAAGCTCGACCTCACTCGAATTAAGTTAAAGGGTCAAGCGCCCTCGCCAAGGAGGAGAGTTCGACCTCGATCGAACGACGACTTGATAGCACAATAACAAAACACTAACACTCTACAAGGCTCAGAGCCATTGCCAAAGAGAATTCGCCCTCGACCGAAGCGACGGTCGACCTCCCTATCCGAGTTTCTCAAACTACAGTTGATGAAATCCACTCATCGAGCTCGGCCAAGGCACGACCTCAATAAGCGAAGGGACTAACTGTATGGGTCAGAATCCGACCCCACAATAATTAACGAAGCTAATCCCGTCTTAAGCTAATTCATGATTAATTAGTGGCACGACCACTCAGAATTAACGATATTCAACCCTCATCTGATTCGATCAACAAGGCCACGGCCCATCCGCCACCATGAAGGCGAAATCCCAACGTGGTCACGACCACTTATTGCCAGCTCACGAAGCTCACAGCTATAAATACAAAACCCTAGAAAGGGGGCTGCTTCTCGGTCACTATCTGGGGGAGAGAGAAAAAACACAATGATACCCATATTGTGAGAGAGAAAAACACCATTGTAAGGCTCTGAACCTCTTCATGGAGAGGCAGGCCAAATCAACATTATCAATAAAGAATCTTAATGTTTCTCCTCCTAACTCTGAGTACTTATTTTCGTTTCCTTCATTTGGTCCAACGGATTATTACGGTTTGCTATGATTTTTCCGTGATTTATTTATATTGCTTTATACTCATAAGGTATGTGATAACTTTTGAGCAAACAAAAGTAGTAAGAGAACAAAGAATACTTCCAATATAAAAAATAAAATAAAAAAGCACTACGGAGTCATTTGGTTTACCATACCAAAAAATAAATTTCGTATAATTAGTTACTCATATATAATGTTGGTTGGCCATATAAATTACGCGCAAATATTGCGTTATTTTATGCGAGATTGATTGTACTTTGGAGTAGAGCAACAAAAGAGAGAAAAAAAAACGAACATCACCATTATTTCAAATTTTAATAGCATTGGTAAAAGTCCCATCCAAGATTATCTGTACCAGTCGAAATTTCTTCTATTTTCCTTTCTTATACAGTACAATTTTTAGATAAAGGATTATTCTTTGTCTAATCCATGTCCACCAGTGTAATGCTGGCAAGATTCGAGGACATAGCCTATGCATCAAGTGGCTATTTAGTGCAAAGCATTATTAGTATTATAATTATTATAGGATAGTCGATATAGGACTTTCACACTTTGTTGTGTTTTTAATTCTATGTTTCTTAATTTAAATGAAAACAAACATTAGGGTCCATCACTAATGTGTCTGATTAGAATCAAGAATCATTCCTTATCCAAATAATAGAGTTGGAAATGCTATACCATATTCGAAATAATTATCCACTTGTACCAAACAGTATGAGTTCTTCAAAGTTGCAGTTTGGTATTGATTTGCTGTGCCCAACTACAACAGATGCAATGGAATAAGGTACTGTTACATACCAAAAGTCTATCATTATTCTAGACATGACCGAATAAGTCTCTTATGTACCCATAATGTAAGTTTTTTTTTTTTTTTTATGCGAATCCAAATTTATTCGAGTTCAAATACAAATACCAAACACCAAGCGTGCAAAAGTGAAATGACAAGAATCTATTTTCAATAATTAACACAAAATGGGACCCCCAAAAAATAAAAGGATCACCATGGGTGCGGTAGACTACAGAGGTGTATCAAGATACAAAGTTGGTGGGTTGGATTTTTACCATTAAAATCCATTACAATTTTAATTTTATAAATTTAAAATTTAATATTTATCAAAATTTCAGCAATTTTTACATTATATTAATACTTCGTGTCGAAAATGACGAATTCAATTAAATACATCAATTATATATCTGTGTGTGTATGTATACACTCCACGTGCCTCTAACAGACTGGTAGTGATCCTTTCAACCTTAATCAAAGGTTTCAAATTTCGAACCTTGAAAATATAAAACTCTTGGTAAAGAGCATTTTACATTCTTAGGGGTCGTTTGGTAAGTGGGTTAAGGTAGAATAAAATGTTAGATTAAATTTATATCATGTTTCGTTGACAGTGTAAAGCAAATCAGGTTAAGGTGGGATAAGGTGTGACATTAAGTATTCCAAATTGAATAAGCCATCGACTTTATACTTTACAATATGCCTAAAGCAACCAGTAAAAAAGAAAGAAAGAAGTATATAAAGAATATATACTTCTATATTGCCTATATATACTCCAAGGTTGCCTCTAAAATCCCCACAATTTCAAAGCAAACATAAAAAGAAAAAAAAAAAAAGACCAATTGCTCTGCTTTCTTCTACTTCTTTTCACACTTTTCTCTTCAACTTGAACATTGTTACAAACAAAAATAACTTGTGATTCGAGTGAAAAACAAACACATGGAATCCTTGAATTTCGACAACATCAAAACGGAGAAAGCAAACGCTATACTGAAGTATAAAAAGCGTCAAAGAATGACAACTTTGTTTCGATTCATCGAATTCTGCATATTTTTGGTCATAATCTCAAGATTTTCCACTCAATTGCCACTCGATTTCAAGTTCTCGACAGAGTATTTCAAGGGACTTGGTGTCACCCTTATTAGTCCCCGATTCGTCTTCGTTCTTGGAAACGTGATTGTTATCATCCTCTTCTTGAAATCAGGACAGTCATCTGCTAAAGATGTTTCGACAGACAACGTTAAAATCGATTTGTACCATGAGTACAAGCAAAAATGTTCAATAAACAAAGAGACTTATTGTGATCAGAGCAAAAAACAGAGGAAACAGAGCATTTTGGTACAAGATACTTGTTGTGAACAGAGCAAAAAACAAAGGAAACAGAGCATTTTGTTAAAAGATACTTGTTGTGAACAGAGCAAGAAACAGAGGAAACAGAGTATTTTGGTGGAAAGACAACTAGTAAAGAAAATTCATCGTAGCCACTCGGAGAACTCTATAAGTTTGTCCCAAGATGAGAAAAAACCTAGAAGAGAATTGATCCGGTCAGCTACAGTAGGATGTCGGAAAGTTACAAATACTGACAGTGTAAAACCAACTATGACGATAACAATTGCCTCATATCCAGAGGACGAGATGAGCAGTGACGAATTCAGGAAAACTGTTGAGAATTTCATAGCAAGACAACAGAGATTGTTGAGGGAAGAAGAGTTTTCAGCTGTTGATTCTTATGAATCATAGCCTATCAATTAGTTCATGTACTAGTTTTTGCTCTCTCCCTTTGTAAACTCTTTTTTTTTTTTTTTTTTTCCTTTTTATGTTTTTAAGAAAAGCATATACATAGTACCCCCCAAGTTCTTAGGCCCTCCTCCATATTGCTGGCTTGTTACAATAGATATGTATAGTAATATATATAGTGATGAAAATATGGGAGGTTTTTGCAAATGTTACTTTGCCTAAGATTTTTGTTATTTTGTCTTATAAGCTTACTTTTGTTGCATGTATTGCCATTTTCCCTTCTGTTATTCCTTTCTCACCCATCTTAGAACTAAAAGGCTTAGTTTGACTATATCTATTAGGGGTTTTTTGGTACGAGGGATAAGTAAAAATAATCCTGGGATAAAAATTTAATATCGTCTTATCCCTCGTTTGGTTACTAATCCTAATACAACATACCAAACAGTCAATTAGAAATAATACTAGGATAACTAATCACAATATAACTATCCCGATATAACTAATCTTAATATAACTAATTACAACATATAACTATCCCAATATAACTAATCTCATCATAACTAATCCCAGCATAACTTTTCATGAACCTCGAATACACGAAAAATTATGTTGGGATGTAATATAGAAATTATATCCCTGAATTAGTTGGTACTTCTGATTTGTTTGGTTTACTTCACTATTTTTGGGATATATTGTACATTATATGATCTGAAACATGTGTTCTATTTTAAATTGGATAAATTTGGATGAACTTTCGTGTTCAATTTCAACCTTAATCTTCTTAATTATTGTGAAAAAGGCTTTGCAGAAGGACAATTTTATCATTTATCTTGTTTTATCTAGACATAGCCAATCCCGGATTATTATCCCACGTTTGAATGTGGTATAAAAATTATACTACATAGAAAATTACTCCCTTTGTTCACTTTTATTTACTGCATTGGTTGTGGCTTATCGATTAACAAAGTGGGTAAAAACTATATACAAGAAATCAAAAGTGTAAATATCACATAGACACAAAAAAAACTTTGTGCTTTCTTCTCCATCAACCTAATTCCTATCTGATATTTATGTTAGTGAAAGATAGCAAGTATCAACGCAAATGTTAAAGGTGTGTCTAAGTTGGCCCGAACACCTATCGTAATTCAAAAAAAAATTATTTGTTGTGACGTGCCACCTAATAATCTCGGACAAGTCCTCTTGATATGCCCAAAACCACCACACTCACAACATCCATCCTGGTGCTATGGCTGCTGAAACTGAGACTGGCTCGAACGGACCGGATGACCACGGTAGTAACTCTTAATAGGAGGTGCACTGATAGGAGCTGGCGGTGCACTGTAGGCTGGCTGCCTAGAATGAGGTACATAAAGACCACGACTCCCTGAAGCATTGTGGGATGCCTGAAGCGCTGACTGATATGGCCCATACCTAAAGTACCCCTGCCTCCAGACGAGGCACCACTAAAACCACCTGAATGATGAGGCCTGTTATCTGACCCCTGCCCTCTCTCCTGTGAAAGAACATCCTCGATCCTCCTGGCGACATTGATAGCCTGTCTCAAAGGAAATCTCACTCCCTGTCTTCTTGGCCATCTACAACTTGGTAGGATGAGCGAGTCCCTCAATAAACCTCCTCACCCTCTCTCTCGGTAGGAAGCAGAAGAATAGCATGACGGGCTAAGACCACAAAGCGGGTCTCATACTGGGTGACGGTCATACTGCCTTGCTGAAGTCGCTCGAACTGCCTACGACAGCTCTCTCTCTGAGTGACATGAAGGAACTTCTCAAGAAATAGCTGAGAGAATTGGTCCCAGGTAAGAGCAGGCGACCCAGCTGGTCTAATGATTAAAGTTTGAAAGTCTAATGATTTTAAGAATTTGATTTATGTTTGGCCTTGTTGATATCATATCCGTATTTTAGTTCTGGAGCCCGGTACAGGTCCGTTATAATATTTAAGACTTGTTTGTGAAATTTGGTGAGAAATGGAGTTGGTTTGACATGGTTCGGACGTCCGGTTGTGAAAATAGAAGTTTTAAAGCTTTCTTGAAAAGAAGTTACACATCTAAATAAACACAAGAAGGGGATTTCAGGAGCTGCGGGCGCTGAACAGTTGTACCTCAAGTCTCTGTAGGCTGTCTAATCAGAGCTATCTAGTAGCCGCCGCTGGGACCGACTCCGAAATCTGCATAATGTGTACAGTGTAGTATCAGTACAACCGACCCCATGTACTGGTAAGTGCCAAGCCTAACCTCGACGAAGTAGTGACGAGGCTAAGGCGGGCCACCTACACTATAACCTGTACGCAGTGTATATAATAATGATAGAATAATAGAGATACTGAACAAAATTTAACAGTTAACTCAAAATGATAACCGCGGTCTCAAGAATAACCCTATAGACATGTAATTTTTGACCCTCCCCGAGATTTTACAAATTTTTGCGTTTAAATATTTTGTTTAGGTCTAATATCGTTATTTTAACTAGTTTTGACTCTTTTACTTTATTTTATCACAAAAATAAAAATTACAAAAAATATTTTCTTTTATTTATCTAATTGATATTTTATCTAGTTACTTCAGAGAAAAGGAGGCAGCAAAAGTTCTAGGGTTGAGTCGAGGTGCCGATTCGAGTTCTGTCCGGGGTTCGAGCGTGCGATTTCTGTTCTTTGACTGATGTTCTCTTCAGATTCACTTATATTTGATCCCAAGTAAAATTTAACTAAAAGTTTTGCGCGCTCAGCTCTGCTTCTTTTCCCTTTTTTCCCTCATGTTTTGATGTGTGGTTTAAATGTATTGCTGGCTTTTTCTCTGAATTTCATTCTCATATCTTGTTAAAGTATGTTTTACATTCTTGGTTTGAGACATGTTGTTTCCGAAATTTTAGTTGGTCATCTATATGACAATCTCATTTTGTTTATGGATTCATTAAGCTTCATTTTAAAAAGGTCGAATCTCAATTTAGGGTTTAACTTGATAATCGGGATTCTCAGTTTGAATTTAACTTCGCTTCGTGGGATATTATAGAAGGTGAAAAGATTATAGTACTATTTCTGAACTTCAATAATCTTACTATTGAATTTTACTACAAGATTATAATGCCATTTCTTATCATTTATTCTTTAGCTTCCTGTTGGTTAGTATTCCTCGCGCATGTTTAAGTTCACTGTCAATTTCCAGGAGAAAAGGTCAGCATGTTCACGAAGTCGTAGTATTCAATTTAGGTGTGATTTATTGAATTTGATCATAGAGTTGCTGGAATTTAATGATCATGAAAACATTTAATTTATAAGAAAGTTTAATTGTTTATTCAGAACGATATCTTTTAACTGGAATGAACTGGCTCTTAATCAGTTGGAGTAGCGTCAGCATATTGGCATAGCCTATATATTATTTTGGTAAATATTCTAAATCTTAATTCAATTTGTTTAGTCTTATTGGTCTGGTTCTTTCTTAGCTATGTGTCTTGAATTTTGGTTCCTTTAAGTTGTCTGAGCTTCATCTAAGCCTATTACCGTATTGTTTACTATTTTCTTTAATGGTTGATTGTTCGAAGTTAGCATCTAGATAAATTAATTGGTTTTGGTTGTACTGTTGCTTGACTACCAGTTTACGCCTTGAGTTTCTTTATTTGTTGATATTCGACGTGAGTTCCCACACCAATGGAATTAGATAATGAAAAGAATTGTTTGTTAGTCCGTGGGATTTGGGTTTAAACAGAATTAAAATATAATTAGCATGAACGGACCTTCATTCATTTATTTTAGTTTATTTGATTTCTACTGTTCTTCCATAACCGCTAGGAGCATGCTTAGGCCGATCACATTTGGGTAGGCAAACCTTTAGGGCGTTTATGTTTTTGTTTTGTTGAGGCGAGAGGTTTTCCGTTTAGTCGACTATATTATCCGGGGAATGCCCCGAAGTACTTTGCAAATATTCTGGAGGCCGTGACGAGCTTATGAAGGAAGCATAGTGTAGTATTTTATTTTTATTTTTATTTTTATTTGTCTTTTATTTAGGTAGGGACAACCCTGGCCTTTTTGTGTTTTTTCTTGTGTGTTTTTACCTCAATTCGAATATTTTAAAAAGCCATCTAGATTGAGTAGGCAACCGTACTAGTTACGAGACTCGAGGAGTGCCTAACACCTTCTCCCTGAGTCAAATGAACCCCCTTACCTTGAATCTCTGGTGCTAACTTAGTTTTTGAGTCCAAAGTGTTTTAAAAAGAAAAATCATTTCTAAAAACGGTGACCTGACACACAGAAACCAAATGTCAGGTGACGACTCTGAAAAATCCTTTTGAACACAATTTTGTCACTTTTCATAATTGAAACCCTTTTTGAGCTTCAAAATCACTTTATTTATTTTAAAGGGTTAGTGAGGTTAAAAAAAAGGGTGCGACAAACCCAACGAAGTACAGAATTCCCAATCTTTAACAGTTCAATGCAAATACCGGAAAACTAACACAACTCAAGAAACAGAAACATATAGGTTGTTGCGGAGCGCAATCCAATCCCACCAAAAAACACATATCCTCCCTCATTCTACCGAAATAACATCAATAACAGAGATAATATATATAAATATGTTGCGACGCGCAACCCGATCCCACCGTATATCAACACAGTATCATAAATCACCCTTATCTCACCATATCAATCCATCCTTATTCCACCTGTTGCGGCGTGCAACCCGATCCCACCGTATAGAACATATTCACCCTTATTCCACTATAACAATCCACCCTTATTACACCTGTTGCGGCGTGCAGCCCGATCCCACCATATCAGTACCAAATACTCAAAGCACAATCAAATCAATAGTCCTACCACAAGCCTTTACGGTCAATAAACACCAAACAGAACCAAATGAGACTTGTACATTAAAGAAATCTACACGAGTAATACTACACATCGAGACCAATCCCGCAATTGACAATTATAAAAGGTGCAAGTAAGTCAATTTAAGTAAATAACAGGGAATCATGAAACTATAGAAGAGCTAACATTATTATCAGGAGAAGACATTGATTAGCAAGTAGCAATTAAGCATGGAAAGTATTTAGAACATATAACAGTTAAGACGGGGTAGAAAACAATTAAGGAAAAGCGATAAATCAAGGAAAAACACGCATATACGCGGCTTACATGCAAATCACATAACACATAGTCCGAGGGTTCCTATGAAGTCAAGGTTAGACACAACACTTACCTCACTCCGCAGT